TATAATTATAATATTTATATTTTTTTATAACTTCTAGCTCTATAGAATCTATATATATTCTAAAGATTATAAATTATTATTATTATTATTATAATTAATTAGTATTAATATAGTATATTATCTTTTTACTATAAGTTTATTAATAATACTATTAGTTATTAATTCTTATAGCTATAGTTATATATTTATAAATACTTACTAATCTATCTTTCTTATAGAGTTTCTTTTAAATTTCTTTTTTTAATTTATTAAAATAATATAATATAGTATATTCCTAGTTTTATTTAGTCTTTATTAAAAGCTAAAGATATCTATTACTAAAGATAGAGATAGATTTAATCTAAGAGAATTTATTAATTTTATACTTTACTTTATATCTTTTATTTTAAATTCTAAAAATCTATTAAAGAGTTTCTATAAAATAATTAAAACTTATTATAATATTAATAATTTATTAGCTTTTTTAACTATTAAGATATTCTCTTATAATAAATTTAAATTAATTAAATATAATTTCTTTAAGTTATAAATAAATATAAATAATTTATTATTTATTATTATTAAAAATAATAGAAAAATAATTAAAATATATTTAAAATTAGATTATAAAGTTTTAAAACTTATTTTAAATCCTATTAAATATTTTAAATAGTAATAATTTAAATAGTATTTCTAGCTATCTTTTTTAAACTATAATTTAAACTTAAATCTAAAGATTAATATTCTAAATAGTTTATTACTCTATAAGGATAATAATAATAGTTATTTCTTATTATATAGTTATAAGATATTCTTAAAACTAAAAAACTTAAGTTTATAAAAACTTAATCTTAGTATTATTATCTCTCTTACTATTATTATTATTATTATCTTTATTTATAGTATTATTATTATTTAGAGTAAATAAATTATTAGTAATAGAATTCTATTATTAAGCTAGAGAAACTATAATAATTATAATATTTTCTTTATTATTATATAATAATTAAAATAAAATAATTAGCTAAATAAAAGTTATTAATATATAATAATTAGATAACTTATATTAAATAGAATCTAGAATAAATTAGAATTAAATTAATTAGAATATTATTCTAAATAATATAATTAGATTATTATAAACTATATAATATAAATTACTATTAATATATAAATATTATAAAGCTAGTAATAATAAATATATAGATAATAATATTAATAATTATTTAAAAAAATATTCTATTTAGTAAAATAAATATATATATATATTTATTATAGAATATAAAAAGTATATTATTTCTAGTAATCTAAGTTTATTCTATAATAGAAGTATAATACTTCTATTATTTCTATTCTTTAGATAATAGAATATATAATACTATATAATCTATTATAGAGGCTTTTATTTATAATATTTTACTATTTAAAGCCTTATATAGAGATTATCTCCTCTATATAATAGATTATATTTCTAATTTTATAATTACTCTTACTTTTTAAAATATCTAATATAAACTAATCTAATATCTTATAAATATATCTTATATATAAGTATATATATCTAATAAGACTAAGTTTAAGAACTATTACTATTAGGAATAGACTAAGTAGTTCTAGTTCTTAGGATTATATTCTAGTTTCTAGACTATAACTAGGCTGACTAAGCTATAGCTAAGTAAAGCTCTAAGTAATTCTGAGCTACTCTGAGTATAGCTGAGCTAAAGTTATACCGGTATAAATTTACTTATATTATAAACTAAATAAGATTAACCTAATATAGAAAATAGAGATAATTATTTTTCAGGAAAGATTATAAAATTAACAGCCTTTAGGTGACGCTGGTATTTGCATTGTTATATAGAATTTCCGGAATCGGTGTGCGATACCGTCGGTTGTCTCGGAACAGTTAAGTTCAAGTGGCTTGATTAGTTCTTGTACACTTTCCCTTACTTAGCTGATCAAAGCTGGATCATCACCCCGATCAAACTCAAAATTCATTGATAGGTAGTATAAATACCGTCACTTGAAATCAGTCCATGCTCACACATCATTCACATTCTGCCATAATCGAAAACATTGCACAATATCTCCCACCTTGTCGATCAAGTCTCAGCGAAAGCTCTAATCCTTCCAATGTCCGGAACCTCAGACAAAGCTCCTGTCCCAGACCAGGCCGAGGCCAATGCCTTTTTTCCTTCACCTTTCTCCCTGACCAAGTATGTCTCGCCACGGACAGACTTTGATGGGGCAAACTACCCCAATGCCTATAAAGGCGGCAAGTGGAAGGTTCTCATCATCGGAACTCAGGAGCGGTACCTCAAAATGGCCGGAGGAGAGTTTTTCTCCACGGGGAATCACCCTGTGGAAATGCTTCTGCCCATGATCCACCTCGATGCCGCAGGCTTCGACATTGACATTGCGACACTCTCCGGAGACCCGGTCAAGCTGGAGATGTGGGCCTTCCCACAAGAAGACGTGGCTGTCAAGCAAATCTTTGAAAAGTACAAGGAGAAGATCCGTAGCCCGCTCAACCTTCAAGAAGTGTGGGGCAAGGGCTTCACCAAGGATACTGAATACCTCGCCGTCTTCGTCCCCGGCGGGCATGGCGTGTTGAACGGCGTGCCGTTCTCGGAGACAGTTGGCAATGTCCTCCGCTGGGCCCATGACAATCAGCGTTTCTTCATCACCTTGTGCCACGGCCCTGCCAGCATGCTCGCCGCCGATGTGGGTAAGCCCGAGGGCAGTAAGTTCATTTATGATGGGTATTCGATCGACGTCTTCCCGGATTCCCTGGACAAAGAAGCCAACGTCGACATTGGGTACATCCCCGGCAAGATGGCTTGGTTTGTGGGCGAGCGACTTCGCAAGCTTGGTGTCACGCCCCTTAATAAAGACATCACCGGAGCGACGCACCAAGATCGGCTTGTTTTGACTGGCGATTCGCCGCTGGCATCAAACAACCTTGGCAAGCTTGCAGCAAAAACGCTGCTCGCTGAAGTTGAGAAGCTTTCTCACTGAGTTGGGTAGTCTAGTAAGGGAAAAAACTTTGATTCTACAGTTTCTTATCCCGCGCTGGAAGATCAGTTTTTAGTTTGTAATAATCGTCATGTAATCTCGGTTTCCAGAAGATTGAAAACGTCTTGTTATTCATGGTCAATATACTCTAAGATATGCTCCCCGTAATTTATAAGTTCCTCAACTCTATGAAATGTACTAGTAGCATATTTTGGAAACGATATGAATAAAGAGTAAAGACCTTCATTGTTTGATTTCAACGATTTCAAAGTAGCACCAGGTAATGGTCACTAAAAGGTCGGGGAAGAACCTTGACGCAAAAAGTAGCTGAGTTGGTCTTATTGAAAACCAAGATATTCATTGTGTTGAGATGTCGGGTCTGGGATCTTCTATTGTTGTTTAAATTTATACTCGAACTGTCTTCCGCATTGAAAACTACATATTGTCTTTTATTCTTTGGCTATTTGATGCCAGGTGGTTAAGCTTGGTGTCCCGTGTTAAAAATGCCTGAATATCTACGTTGCCACGCCAATTTCCGTTCTATGAGAGGCCCGAAAGTAGAAACCCACAACAAGAATTGGAATATTCAGATAGCTGATTAAGAACCTGATTCTAATACGTGTCCCTGTTTATAGCCTTTCCTTTGGGTGTCCCTTGCTATTTCTGCTATATCGCATCGTCGTTGATTTTCCAGTACTTTAAAAGGTGTTTATTTTTATGACTAGGTTTATTAGCTTCTACGCCGCATGGTGAAGCTGTCGACACTTGCACTATTTTTGCAAAGAGATTATAGCACGATCTTTCGAACTTACTGCGTATGGAGAGGAGCAGTTGGCGGCCTCTTTGGTAGTCAAGGTCAAGGCCTCAATTCCTATGGCAGGGATTGCTACTCTTCACTAGCTCTAGACCCATAGTCTAACAGGGATAATTACCGTCGAGTGCCGCTTACTCTCAACAGTCAAAGCATCGTCGATGTCAGCTCTGTAGACGGGGGTTAGCTGACACTTCTGCTGGCAGGGATGATTCAGTTCACTTACTCCTAGAATATAGTTCTGTTGATAAGGAGAGCCATAATTCCAAAGCTCGCAATAACTCTTCTTTCACAAGAATTGAAAACCTTGCCTAATACTTTGCGATGTGGTGGAAAGCTGGTTTTGGACAATTTACAATCCCTTCAACCCCCCCCT